TCTCCATAAGGCTCACCAAATTTTTAGGAGAAGAAAACAGATTTTTATTTTCCTGTTTTCTTCTAAAAATTTGGTGCGTCTTATGGAGAGGTGCGTCTTATGGAGCAAAAAATACAGTAATATAAAAACAACAAAAAACATTGTTAAATGGAAAATGAACACTGTATTAAGTAGTCTGGAGACAGATTTGGTCTATTCATTTATTAAGTTGTATTATTTTGTTATTTTATGGTATTGGTACTGTTGTAAACTGTCCAGAGTGGCCCGGCTGCCAGATGGGCAGTATAGAAATCAAATAAATAAATAAATAAATAAATAAATAAATAAATAAATAAATAAATAAATAAATAAGAACTAAGCAGGACCTTTCAGAGGTAAAAACTGCACAGGGTTACCAAAAGTCAAAGCTAACAATGCATCTTCACTTTCAAACCATTCTGACACATTTACCTGATATCTGGCAGAGCGCCTTCTCCCACCCAGTTCAGCCAGAGTCACTCGTTCCAGCCAAGCCGGGCGGCTGAGGGGCCTAACACCAAGGGAGGTCCAGAAGGAAAGAACGAGGAACCGGGCCTTCTCAGCAGTGGCCCCTCACCTCTGGAACAACTTGCCCATGGAGATCTGCCTGGCTCCCTCTCTGGGTGTCTTCAGAAGTAAACTTAAGACTTGGTTAAGACTTTCCCTCCTGCTGTATCTTGAATTCACATTTTAACATCTTGGATTTATTGCATTTTTATTGGTTTTACTGTTTTTAAATTTGTAATGCCGCCCAAAGTAGACTTTTGGTCCACAGCACTTCCGCTATGAATGTGGGTTAGAAAATGGCAATTAAACTAATATCTCCCTGTTCATGCTCTCTCTCTCTCTCTCTCTCTCTCTCTCTCTCTCTCTCTCTCTCTCACACACACACACACACACACACACACACACACAGAGAGAGAGAAATGCATCAAAGGAATCCAACTTTCATGGATATATATGTCTGTGCACAAAAAAATTCAAATGTGCTTTTCTATACTTCTATTAATAGTGCTTCAAGCTGTGTTAATAGCTGTTTTGTTCTTTAAGCTTACAAAATAAACTTTAAAAGTTTATAGCCTACATATACAATATCACCATCTATCCTCTTTATACCTCTAATAAAGAAATATGTAAACGTTATGTTAGACAGATAAGGCTTTTAGTCTGTTGTCAAACATTCCGGAACACCAGTGGTCTTAATGGGAGCTGGACATGGGACTTTTGTATTTTTTGGACTTCAGCCCCCAAGATTCAGCAGAAATTCTTCCTGGCCAGAAATCTGGGTGCTTTAGCCAAGAAACTAAAGTCCTCAGAGGCGTTTTCAATTAAACATAGGGGAGAATGATGGCTCTGGTAGCCTCCATCTGCACGTGAGGAAGAAAGAAGAAATGGCTGAGAGGGGTTAAGCTTCATGGGAGCTGAGAGGGATTAGGGGCACAGGTAGGGGACTAGCAGTGTCTCAACCCATTAGCCTCTGCACACAATATACCTCAAAAAACTACCATTCCCCACATCCCCTGCAGCTCCCATGCCTACCAAATGAGGCAACAAGGGATAATCAGTAAGCAAGTCTCATTAATTTTATGGGTTTAACTTTAACAAAAGATTTCAGTGAGTAGTGCTCCTTGTTCCGGGTGCCAGTCACACTCCATTCCATTCCACCCTTTCCACATGTTTTTCATCTCTCTTCCAGACCCTCTCTATTCTATGACCAGAGAACATGCTCACTTCTCATTTTGCTATTTGGTTTTGAGGGTTGTGTGTATGCGCCTTCAGGTTCTTTCCCAATCCACCTTTTGTGTAGGTCTGCAAGCTTCCTTTCTCAGATAGGGAGCCTTCTTTCTTGGACATGGATATTCTGGCATGAGAACGTAAGGTCTCCAGCTTCAACGAAAATAATTAAGCACCACAAACAGCATGTACAACAAACAGAACTGCGTGCCACAAAATGTCCTTGTTCTTTTATTTTGGCAGCTACAGATGAGTTTTAATTACTATGTTGATAGTACTTGTCCGCATGTTAACATCATACTGTATTGTTCTGCAATTTGTAGAAATAATGAAGCTTTCCAATTGGCACAAAGGTCCCTCATCTAAGCATTTTCCTGCCTTTCAGAAATATTATTAGGGAACAGAGCAGTCATCTAATAAAGATTATTAAAAATCTGAGCTAAACAGGCCACATGCAGCAGAAAAGCCTAATTTTTAATGGCTATTTATTATTCATATGCCTTTTATTTTAAAGACCATATTCCCAGGATCTTACATTATTTGCTGAGGAGACCGAATAATCTCATAGCTTTATTATATAACATGAAAAGGAAAATTTGAGAAATAGATGAGTGACTCTGGAAATTATTCTCTTTTCTCAGGGCCTTAACATTCCTATTCTTTTAGGAGTCAAAACTGCTTCACATATTATACTTCTACTTATTTCCCTTTGCGGTCAGAAATGACACTGAAAAGGACAGACAGATATGAAAAATGCTTGCTTTACCACTTCTGCTTCATATGCCACAAATTCTCTTAAAGCAGGTTTTTCAATTCTCAGTTTGTGGGTATGGACCCCAGTTAACACAAATAGTGGAAAGTAGAGATGGGCATGTACCACTCAGTCGTTCATGCCAGTTTATCCTTCAGAAGAAAGGTGTTCGGTGGTTTCCAGCCCTGCCTCATCTGGCAGGTGCCCATTCGGAGGCAATGCCCAGAGCAGGTGGGTTAGGGAAGCCAAGATGCTGCCTCTGAGTGGGGTCCACCAGCAGAGGTGGGACTGGGAATCGCCAGTTCATCCAAACAATGAACCAGCAGTTCGTGACCATATCTAATAGAAAGCGATTCATTTTTAGGTACTGCAGACCATCAATGACTCAACATGGTGGCAATTCTCCTTTAACAATCTACCAATATTTATGTGAACCCCGAAGAAATCAACAGTGGTCATTACAGACAGCAGTTCTCTGTATAACTGTGTCACCCAACAATAAACAATATTTTTGTTTTCATTGGTGTTACAAAAACAGCATGCACTCTAAACCTTTTTGCAAAAAGGAGGATTAAATCCTGCTTCCCAACCACTTTTACCAAAGCCTTTCTGAACTATCACGACTTTTCCATGGCTAAAGAAAAACTCATGGGGCTTTCCCTTCTCCAGATTCTTCCATGTGGCATGACAAGGAACTCTTTTGACCTCCATAAATTTTTCTGCACCACCTTAAGTTCTGTAAGACAAAGCAGGTGATGCCATTTCTAAGACTTCTATACCTTTGATAAGTGTCCATGCCCCTTCAAAGACTTCTATAGCTTTGGTGAACATTTGTATTAAATTATTCAGCAACTTCTGCTTATAGAAGGATGATATTGAAGTATTTGCAATCGCAAAACGATGGTTCCAATGGTTTTTTTCGCTTGACGTTGATTAGGAGCCTGCTTTGCAAACCATTTGTTCGCTAAACGATGATTTTTCCAGCTCCGCAAAATGGCTTCCCTTCATAAAATGGCTTCCCTCCCTTCTCAAAATGGCTGCTTTCCAGACCCCTGCTTCAAAAGATAGTGTTTTTAAACAGCTGATCAGCGGTTCTCTATGGGCAATCTTCGCTGGATGATGAGGTGTTTCCCCATTGGAACGCACTGACTGGTTTTCAATGCATTCCAATGGGTTTTTTTCGCTTGACGACGATTTCGCTTAACAGTGGTTTTCCTGGAATGGATTATCATCATGAAGCGGGGCACCACTGTACCAAATTTGATTTTATGTACTGTCTACATTCTTCCACTGATGAGCTGCTAGCTGAACTGTATATAAATATTTTAAACAAGCCGACCCACCTACCAAGTGTGGTATAGAATTTAGTGATCCACTACCTTTGACATTTCCCAAATGTCAGCATGATCCGATACTGCCTTGCAATATATACATATATACATAAATGTGAGCACTTATAGAGAGTAGGAAGATCAAGTGCAAGACTCAGAGGACAACCTCAAAACTTCACCTCTATCAAGACAGGATCCAAGGAGCCCAGAAACAACATGCCAAAAAGTCTAATTGCACTGAAACAGTAGTGGATCCACATGATCAATTTTAAATCATTTGTTCTGAAGACATGAAGGCTGAGATGCTGACTATTTGACTATCCAAAAATTCCTGTATATCTACAAAAAAACCTGAAAGACTGAATGCCATATTAAAACTCTTCTCATCAATATGTAATTTTCTAAATCCAGGATGTTTTAAGGCACTTTTGCAGGGATAAATGCTCGGTCATATAAAACCCCCATCTGAAACTACAGAGCTATTTATCTAGCAAAAGTATATTGGTTTGGTTTCCAATAGTTAAACATACTCTCTCTTTGCTGAGGACCTCATAAGGGCACTTTGCTAAGAAAAGAGGTCCCTTGGAAACTTGTTTTGTATGACTACAATGTAAAATGTAGGGGTTTTTTTTCTTCAAAGGAGAAGATACTCCTACCTCCACACCAGAAGCTCCAATGATGCCTTTGAGTAAAAAGGCAGAAAGAAAGAAAGAAAGAAAGAAAGAAAGAAAGAAAGAAAGAAAGAAAGAAAGAAAGAAAGAAAGAAAGAAAGAAAGAAAGAAAGAAAGAAAGAAAGAAAGAAAGAAAGAAGGGACTCATCTCTCATGGTGATGTCCCTTCATATGGAGAATGCAGTTTTTTATCAGCCAACAGAGACAACACATACCTATGGGATGAACTTGGTAGGATTTTCATTTATATCTAAGTCTGAAGCCAAGTGGACAAATCCAATTTAATTTTCCTCTCAGTCATCATGTACAAAATGCATGTTGGACTGCATAGAAGCCAGGCCATGAACTGGTTCATTTGCACCATCCCATTCCCACCTCATTAAGAAAAGTGGATTCTTTCAAGCACTCACAGTTTCCTGTCTTTGGGACTCATTGAGCCTGTCAGATAAGTCTTCCAACCTCCTTTTCGTTTCTGCGTCAGTTCTTCAGAGTTAAAAAAAGTCAGAAAACAAAAATAATTATGAATAGTAATAATTTCCCAATAGACTGTGTGCTACATTAAGCAAATAATTCTTCAGCATTAACACGAGATCCTAGCAAATGTTTATTAAACAGTAGTACAGAAGACAATTCTCTAACTTTTAGAAAAATCTCTCAGAATAACAAATTTTCATCTATAATTTAGGAAAACCAAAACCAAGGCATGACTTTGCTCAGCACTGCCAGCAATTAACTTAATATCTTTCATACAAGAGGCCGTTATTGCTTTTTCAATTTAATTTTGTTTTAGTTGCTGTTATGTCTGATGAAGTGGACTTGTCCATGAAAGCGCACATGAAAAAATATAAAAACTAGTCTTTAAGGTGCTCTATCACGTTTTTGTCTTTTTTAAACTATTTTTTCCTAGTATGCTTTTAGCAATAATGGTTTAATTCTGTTTGTTACGTAGATGTTCCACAGACAACACAGATGGTATTGTCTGTGGAATGAGAGGGCAAAAAAATTCCCTCAAGGCCATTTTTAGAGTCCCACAGGCTCCACATATCCCCTCAATGGACTTTTCTGCTCCTGGAAGCCTTTGGCATTTGGGGATCAAAGCCCTGTTCCAAGTTCTCAAAAACTCTAAAATCCAAACCACAAGTGAACAGCAGCTAGTGCTTAGTTATACAGTAATTCCCTTCAACCACTTTGGGACCTTTTTAAACATGTCCAAGTCTGCTGTAGTTGTCACTCATGGTGCCAGTTGGGGCAAAAATCTCTCACACGCACCAGACTCACCAAAGTTGTGCAGCTCAATCAATGCTCATACTGTCTATGTGTCTTATACATCATGCCTGTTTTTTTATGCTATGCATTCTGCCTGAACAATGTAATATTTATTTATTTATTTTGGAAGCCTTTGGCATTTGGGGATCAAAGCCCTGTTCCAAGTTCTCAAAAACTCTAAAATCCAAACCACAAGTGAACAGCAGCTAGTGCTTAGTTATACAGTAATTCCCTTCAACCACTTTGGGACCTTTTTAAACATGTTCAAGTCTGCTGTAGTTGTCACTCATGGTGCCAGTTGGGGTAAAAATCTCTCACACACACCAGACTCACCAAAGATGTGCAGCTCAATCTATGCTCATACTGTCTATGTGTCTTATACATCATGCCTGATTTTTTTTATGCTAGGCATTTTGCCTGAACAATGTAGTATAATCTGCCACCTTTAACACTCTCCAGTTTTGTGAGGTACAATTCATATGAAGTGGATAGCGCTACAAGCACTCTCCGGGCAGTTTACAATTTTTAATTATACAGGCTACACATTGCCCCCCCAGCAAGCTGGGTACTAATTTTACCGACCTCGGAAGGATGGAAGGCTGAGTCAACCTTGAGCCGGCTACCTGGGATTTGAACCCCAGGTCGTGAGCACAGTTTTAGCTGCAGTACAGCGTTTTAACCACTGCGCCACGAGGCTCCTCGTATAATCTGCCCCATTAATACTCTCCAGTTTTGTGAGGTACAATTCATATGAAGTGGGTCCTCTTTAAATGTGACTTCCAGAGTGTGGAGGCCAAGCAGGTTGGCTGATATCATTCTCTCATTGTGCATAAGTTCTAGTCATAACATGAAACACAGATAAGATTATAAATTGTACCGTAACAAATGGTGTTCTTAATTTCTTATGTAAAGAAAAAACAAAACTCTTGGATAGAAACAAAGAGAAAAGTCCCATGAGTGGACCGTTTGACCCCATAGGGCCGAACCCCCGTTATCTCCACCTGTGGGGGGATATTCATATTCATATACGAATACAAATACCCCTATCTCTAATCCACACCTAAAAGGTGCTGGTACTCTTTAAATGTGACTTCCAGAGTGTGGATGCCAAGCAGGTTGGCTGATATCATTCTCTCATTGTGCATAAGTTCTATTCATAACATGAAACACAGATAAGATTATAAATTGTGCTGTAACAAATGGAGTTCTAATCCAGTGTGTTATCTGGTTCTTAATTTCTTATGTAAAGAAAAAACAAAACTCTTGGATAGAAACAAAGAGAACAGCTGTCCTATTTCTTTCTATTTGAATTAAGATGGTAATTCTTCTTGGCTCCATTAGTTTGGAATTTTCTTCCTATACAACTATGTACTGCTGTCTTCATAGGTCTTTTAAAGACTTGTAATGACACAATCACTGAAGAGTTCAGTATCCGGCTGTCTGCCATGTTTTCCACCTAGTAGTCCCACAGGTGATTTCACCTACACAAACTTATCCATGAAAGGTTACCATGCCACCCACTTTGTAGGCACCAACCTCACTGGAATCTCTAGTACAGGTGGAAGAGAAAGTCTAACAGAAAGGGAAACTCTGAAAAAGATTGAGACCAAAGGAAGAACAGTAGGGCCAGAAAGACCTGGAAATGAGTGGGCTATAAAAGGAGGGAGACGGCAGTAAGGGAGACAAAGACTGGTGGCAACAAGTTGAAGAAGAGAACAGGAGGAGAAAGAAGAAGGGGGAGAGACCTGGACAGACACAACAGAGTGGCCCCAAACAAACCCACCCAAGGAAGTGCTGTCAGCATCAAGCTTCAGCTCGCCAGGAGATGTTGCTGCAACAAGAAAACACGAACAGCCACCCAAAGAATCAGGTTCAATGTCCCCAACACCTTTACCCAGTTGCAACGCCAGAGGAGGCAGAGACAATTTAATCATCTCTGGCAACTGGGGGCCAACATACAGTCATGCCCCACTTTACAATTGCCGCACATTACGACGAAACCGCGTTACGATGTTTTTGCGATCACTTTTGCGATCGCAAAACGATGGTCTGAATAGGGGTTTTTTTGCTTTGTGATGATCGGTTCCCTGCTTCGGGAACCGATTTTTCACAAAACGATGATTTTTAGACAGCTGATTGGTGGTTTCAAAATGGCCGCCGGGTAAATAAAATGGCTCCCCACTGTTTTCTGGGACGGATTCCTTGCTGGACAGGAACCAAAAATGGCCGCCCTATGGAGGATCTTCACTGGACGGTGAGTTTCCAGCCCATTGGAACACACTGAAGGGGTTTCAATGCGTTTCAATGGGTTTTTTATTTTCGCATTACGACATTTTTGTTCTACAGAGATTTCGCTGGAACGAATTAACATCGTAATGCGAGGCACCACTGTATGGTGCAGAGGACAGAGACTGGGGCAATATTATACCTTCAAGGTTTTTCATGGCGATTGAAGCAACCGCTCCCTGTCTTTGGACTCTACAGTTGACTACTAAGCGCAGACTATTTAGATGTTCCTAAAGTAAAGTTGCCTTTTGTTTCTGATCATGGGGCATTCTTGGCAAAGATACTGGAGTGGAATTGCCGGTTCCTACCCCAGGTGGATTGCGTTTAGTCAGAACAAAAGACTTTGATGTTGGGAAAGTGTGAAGGCAAGAGGAGAAGGGGACGACCGAGGATGGGTGCAGAGGACAGAGACTGGGGCAATATTATACCTTCAAGGTTTTTCATGGAGATTGACACAACCGCTCCCTGTCTTTGGACGCTACAGTGGACTACTAAGTGCAGACTATAGATGTTCCTAAAGTAAAGTTGAATCGCCAAAAACAAAACAAAACAAAACTCCTTGACATCGACTCTCATGTCTGGACCAGTGGGCACATTTTGTATCCTGTTCTCCATGGAGGACCTGGGGACATGTACACTTACTTACAACAAACTGTTTTTAACTAGTACTGTATTTGGTATCTAGTTTTTGGTCACTCAAACTACTGATGCCATTGTGCTGCTTCTACTCTAACAGCTTCCTATTTTTGCTGCAGCCATTTTTATGTGTGTTCACAGATTTTAGATTTCACTACCTCCAGGGGGCTGGGAAAGAGAAGATCTCTGTCTGAAACCCTGAAGATCAAATGCCTGCCAGAGTAGACAGAACATTCTTTTCAAATAAGAACTGTCAAATCTATATACTCATGGCAAAATTATTTCTTAAAACTGAATTCGTAAGACAGTATGCACATTTTCCTATGTAAAAAAAGTTGTGTGGAAAGCAGCTTTATAACTGGCTTTGCAGATCACTCAGTTATTGAAACAGTTTGAAAAAGTTTTACTTTTTTGGACTACAATTTCCAACATCTCCCCAGTAAGCATGGCTACTGGATCTGCAGGTTAGGTGATTCTGGTAGTTGGTAGCCCAGAAAAGGAATAGTTTTCCACTGCTATTAATGCCACACAAGCACAGCCATTCAACTAAAAATGTGTTGTCTGAAGGGCATACTCTGGCATAAACACTCTCACATAAACTCTCAATGTAATGTGTTCTAAAAATAATAATTTCCTGATAAATTGTCCACCCAGTCCCACAAGCAAAGTCATGCTTGCTTTTCCTACCTGTTTCTTCTTGAGAGCTCTCTGTTAAGATCATCTTGCAGACGAACTTGTTCACTGCTGAGATCCCTGAGTGACTGATGTAAAGAGTGCACCTGCAAGGTGAGCATATACACATTGAAAACATGTATTTTAGATTTTTTTCCTTCAATAATCATGTGTTCCTGTTTTAAAGTCTTTAAAAATAAAGAAGAATGCCCATGTATCAGTGGGCCATTTCCTTCAATTCTAAAAAAAATCATAATTAACTGGAAGGATAGAATCTCAAATGCCATTTGGACACTGAATTTCATGTCTTCACATGAAATATCCTGGGCCAGTCTTAAATAGGTCCATTTTGGTTAAACTCCAGAATACATTGAAATATATTTTTCACTATTTTCTCTCAGGTTGATTTTCTCTTTATGATTCACTCATTCATTCATTCAAATATTTTACCCAGTTTTCTTCTTGTAAGGGCCCAACGCTGCTTATATCATTAAAATAATGTTTCGAAGCTAAAAACAATAAATATACAAATATCTAAAAAGAATTAAACAAGTATCAAATCAAAAACAGTAAATAAAATCAATACTAAAAACACATTTAAAAACAACAGAGCACAACAATCCAATTTGGAATACCCCTCTCAGACAGCCAGTCACTAAAGAAAAGCCTGTCTGAAGAGAAAGGTCTTTGCCTGCTTGCAGAAGGACAGCAAAATGGGGACAGCCTGGCCTCCTGTGGAAAGGAATTCCACAGTCTGGGATCAACAACAGAAAAAGCTCTGTCCTATGTCCCTATCAAGTGTGCCTGTGATGGTCATGAGACTCAGAGAGAGGTGTCCCCTCATGATCTTAACACCCAGGCAGGCTCGGAGGCAGATCAGGTATCTGAGATAGCTTGGACCCAATCTATTCACTTGTTCCTTACATTTATAAGATTTATCCTAAGCCTTGGATTAATCTTCTGCAATTCTTTTTCCCAATCACTGCTTCTAATTCTACGTTCCTAACCAAGGTCCAGGCTAATAAACATCTCCCTATTCTAAAGCATCTTAAGACTCATTTTAGTTAGTATATAAATAATTGTCAGTCTGCATTTAACTCCTCCAATTTCTCCACTCTCCTGCCTCATACTTCTAAATGATCTTTAAATTGTACACCTGAACAAACTGTAGAAAATGCAACGTTCCTTTGCTCTCTTTTCTGAAAAGCTATCTGAATGGCCAGGCAGTTACAGACACTAATATGCTTCTCTATGCACAGCCCAGGCTGATGTTAGCATTATTTAGTCTTTAGCTATATAGAACCCACATAACTAGCTTCACCCTACAAACACACCCATCACTTTCAACAAGCAAAAGTGAAAAAAGTAAAAATATAATGATGGCAGGTGATGTAATAGGGAAAGAAGCAGGACCATATATTCTGTTAAGGATCGCTACTTACCTGGGCCAGATTATCTCCCTGGTCGATAAATCGAACAGCAGATCTGGATCGCCGCCGTGTAGTACCTACTGTTTCACCATAATCCCTGAGGGGAGAGGTTGGCTGGAAATGACGGCCTTCTTCAAAAGGTAAGAGAAAGACAAACCATATAAGAAATCATTTGAGAAATTAGCATAAGCATGACTCAGATTTGAAGGACCAACTGTACTTGCATAGAGTTGGCCAAATTCAAAGTGCAGCTGTAGACAAAGTTCAGCTCAAACACCTACCAATCAGATCTACCAGGTCCATGGGGCAGCTGTAGACAAAGTTCAGCTCAAACACCTAACAATCAGAAAACAGAGGCTTAAATCCAACTCTATCTTGATTCTGAATAAGTTAGATGCACTGGCTAAAATCCTGTTGCTTAGTGTAATAAGTGGAAGCTAAATCAATTGAACTTACAGAAGAACTGACTCATGAAATCTCCATTCATAACTAGCCAGGTTTTACTAATTTTACCTGAAATACTGAATGTATGATTCTTGTGGTACCTGTTTCTACCCTTTGTTACCTCCTTTCCCCCAAATGAGCTACTGCGCAACAGCATCTGGGAATTGTGCAATCTTGACATATGAGATGCTCAGCCAATTCAAGCTAAGTAAATTATTCTTTTTACATATATGATCACTTATTTGGAAGCCCCATTGGTTCAGTGTGCCTGGATACACTGCCATATATCAGTAGTCAGAGTGATCACATTGCTATTCTTTTACAAAGTAGAAAAAATAATAATTGTTAAGCAGAGTACTATAGAAAGCAACTCCACCATCATGCTGTTTGTTAGTTAGAACAATTCACTCACTAAAATAGCATCCAAATGGAAACAGAGAGTTGGTGTACCAAAAAGGTTGGCCATTTTAGTTACATAAATATTTTGTCATGTCTGCATTTGACTGCTCTAATTTCTCCCCAGTTTGCCCGTACATCCCACTGGCCCTCCCTCTCTTTTCTTTCTTTCTTTCTTTTTCTTGTTCTAAAAGAGATTCAGGTACCACTTCACAAATGCTTTTCTTTTACCAGAAGTAATGAATCAGCATTGATTCCTTTGGGGGGAAAAACCTGTCCCATCCCTATTAATGCTTGAGAAACTGAATAAGAAACGTAAGATTGTTTTGGCAATAAATTTCCAGGGACGCTATGATCATTTTATCTGAAATAGTTTCTGCTCACACACATCCCATTCACTAGCTAACAAACAATAAAACTGAGCCACCCAATTGAATGGACAGTTCAATGCATTTAAATGGGGAAAACAAAAAATCACCAAAAATTAACGAAGACTCAGAACAAAGCCAAATTAAGTTTGCATAGGTTTCACAAGGTGCACTACCGATTCCAAGCATTTAAAACATGTTTCAAACATTTTAAGACACTTAAAAATGAGTGAAAACGGACATCGGAAAATCCATTGAAAAGCATTGAAGCTGACTCAATGCTTTTCAATGGCTTTCCGATGGGGGAAACATTGTTTCACTTAGCGATGTTTCCTATGGGGATTTTCGCTTAAGGACGGTAATCCGTTCCCATTGGAACGGATTAACCGGTTTTCAATGCATTCCTACGGGAAATGGTGTTTCGCTTAACTATGTTTTCCCATAGCGATGTTTTTTTTTAACCAATTAACATCGTTAAGTGAGGCACCACTGTATTATCTTAAGTGCTATTGAGAGAAAGATGGATGGATGGATGGATGGATGGATGGATGGATTGTATATGTGTCTTGCCTTTCTTCTGATATGTTTAGGACAATAATCAAAACAACATCTGATTTTAAAATTTACAAATTTGATCTTAACATGCCATGTCACACAAGGAACACACAATGATTACAGTAACAAAAGAACAGAAACCTTTGGCTCCTCTGTTTGCTGATGTCAGTTGATATTCTCCAATGAAAAGTTGTAGCGACACAAGTGGCAGTGATGTAAAATGGGTGGGGGAGAGGCTCGTGTTGAAAATGTCATGAGCCTTTCATTACAGGTTTTCAATTTAATTCTGTTACTTTGCTCCCTTCCCCAGATTAGGGATGAGATTTCTGATGAGTGAATTTAGACATTGTCCCTCCCAGCATGTGATGCTATTAGCCTACTCATTTATTCAGCTGCTGCAAAATGAAGAAAACAATCAAGTATTTCGATGAAAGTCTGTTCAAGTCTACTCAAAGGTGATTTGCACTGAGTTCAATGAGACATACTCACAAATAAGTAAATGTAAGATTGTAGGCTACAACTCATTAAAACATTACCTGGGGTTTCACCATCCAGGTCGCTTGCGTATAAGCTTGAAAGTGATGCACTTCTTACTCCAGAATTTCTCGATAATCGTTGGCTCCTTAACTGACCTATGGACTGTTCCAGAGTTTCTTTAAGCTGCATTAAAATAACAACTCATTAGGTGGATAACAACAAAATACAAGGTAAATGAAGATCCACAATCAAGGCACCAACAATTTCAGGGACTATATTGTCATTACCATTGTCCCACAAATGGGAGTTAGAAAAGCCTGTTCTGAAATACCAAAAGGTAAATGAAGATCCACAATCAAGGCACACCTAACAATTTCAGGGACTATATTGTCATTACTGTTGTCCCACAAATGGGAGTTAGAAAAGCATGTTCTGAAATACCAGTATACCTACCAAGATATCACAAGTTTTATCTTATGTCTCCTCTCAGTTTACAGTGTATGTCTAAAGACTAAGCTGGCCACTGAATTTCTAACATGAGCTCATTTGTCTTTAATTTTTATTTGGTTCTGTATCATATAAACATTCCTCTATCAAAGTGCAGAAACCAAAGTATACCCCTAACAAACAAAAACATATTTTGCAGTTGTCATTTAAATATTTGGGCAGGAGACTATCCCTATGGCTTATTCTTCCACTCTTACAAGAGAAATAAGTCAACCACCATAATTTTGTAAACTCTCAAGAAGGCTCCCAACAACCAAATGCTCATTCCTCAGATAGACTGCTAACCAGGCTGAGTCGTGCGGTATCCAACAGAGAGAAGAAAAGGGGAATTTAAAAAAAGAAGGCTTTAACAATATGAATACAGGCAACAATGGGTGGAACTTTAGGAGTCTTAAAAGGAATCTTCCAAATTGGCATTTCCAAAAACAGAAGTTGGATCAGCAGGTTTATTCCCCATATTTGTGAGTCCAAAAAGCTAATAAAGTCAGTATGAGTATTATGGATTGTTATGGCTACCTTCGTGCCACAGTAACATTAGGAATCCTTCTTCACTGTCCCTCATTTCATGAAGATTTCCCAACCCATTCTAGTTTCACGCTATTAATTTGCAAGCTTTGTCAAAGAGATGCCCTCAAGAGTTATTTGCTTCCCACTGTTTCACTGCAGAGAGAAGCAGCCATCTGGAAACACCTTGTATTTCCCTAGAAAAATGAGTCATGGCTGGCAAGCAGATGTTCTAAAAATGATTACAATTAGTGCTATTTCACAGCTATTATTCAGAAATAAAGTTAACAAAGTAAAACCGTTTTACATAGCTATACTTTGCCCTCCCGTGAATAGATTTGATAATGAGTACTTATGGCCAGAGATATCTACTAATCTGACACCTTAAACATTAGATTAAGAAAATGAAAGTTTTCAGCACAGAACTGCTGCATACCCCAATATGGACAGTTGGGTTTGGCTTAGTGTAAGACAATATGAATAGCTTCTCACAGATCTTAAAATATGTGGCACTGTGTAATCTTGTGTTTTTTCTAAATATTTAAATCAGGAATACAAAAACACGTATACCAGAGGTGACAAATTGTGGCCCTCCAAATGTCTCATCAGCCATTCTTGCCAAAGCGAATGGGAATGTCGTTCCCATCATGGGAATGTCAATTAAACGACATATACAGGGTCACAAATCTTCTTTGCTCAGTAACATTTAATAATTGCAGTAGGTAATTTTCACCCAATAATGGGCAATATAGAGAATATTTGAGGCAGCTAGCACTAAATTGACTACAGTACACTGGCATAGACGTGACATTATCTCCTTCTCTGCACTCACAAAAAACTGTGCTAGTACAAAAATCTGGTTTTCCAAGGTTCACCTTGGTCCTGCCAATTCCAGACCACAGCCTATTAAGTAACTTTCAAATAACCTAGTTCTTCCTGTGACTGAGGACCAAACTTTCCTGGGGTTCCATCCAGTGTAATATATGGGTAGTTCTTTTTCCCCTCATAATTGTGGAAAACAATGGCATTGTCTCCTCTTTCTTCAGGATTCAAAGGTGTTCTGAAATATTTTTTTTTTCTTGGTTTTAATGTGGGAGAGATGGGATGGTAGCCAAAGAGTAGATATGCATTTGATTTAAAACCTTTCAGTCTTCTTTCACTATTAGCTGATAACATCAGTTTGTATTGCACTGGCTGCAATGTCTGCTAGGCAGTTAATTTTGTCAACAGGGATTGACTTCAGACACCAATTAACCACCTTAACATGTGCACTTCTCACAAGTTTAAAAATCAATTTTGCACATCTAAGTTGTGAATTAAATATGCACAACATCTACATAGCCCAGTCCTTTCAAAAGTGTAATCTTTTGAAGAATTACATGTTTGATGAGGCAAGAGTGTCACATTAACTCCCTCACATGTTAGAAGCATGTGCAAAAAGATGACTCAAAGTAGCCCACTGCCACAGCAAAGTTGTGCATTCACTACATTTCCCTTTAAAACTGCTTGCTCCACATAGTCAGAGAGGAGTTTTGCAGGTGTCCACTCTTTGCACTCTGCTAATTACCCCCAGGATTTTCACTTTTACCCAATTTGGGGTAATTTACCCCTGTTCCCCTACCTATAACCTACATGCTAGTGGGGCCAATACAACCCATTGAGTCCTCATGCGTGCTTTTCACTCCTGAGTGATTCACATATTAACATCAGCAATTGCCATTTCTCACACCATAGTCCTAAGAGCTACCATCCTGGAAGGCTGAGCCATGTGACTTCCTCCACTGAGTCCTTTCCACTTATCAGTTGGAGCATGTAAAAAGAGTACTCCAAGATGTTCTGCTGGTCCGTAAATTAGATTTATCCACGAGATAAAGTTCTAGATAGCTACAGCTAATGGTTTGTTGGACAAATGCCATTATTACAAAGAATTAAGTTATTTAGTCATAGAAGAAAGAAGGGAGGAAAGAAACAAAAATTGAATGAAAAAGACAAAAGGACTACAAAATAAGTGCTGCATTATTCAATCCCTGCCTGTACTCAGGTTGGAACAGAAACCAGCAAGAAACCAGGCTCCTATACAGCCTGGCAGATCACACTGCATATCTCGCCGTCCCATAACAAAACAAAGATAAGTTAACTGCAATGCCCACCACAACAGTCACATGTTTACAAGTATCAGCTAGTAGCTTAAAGTCATCAATAGTTGCTTACATTCGTAATTGCTTCTGCCTGTTCATTGTTGTACTCTCGATACTGGCCAAGCATCTGATCCACATGTTTCAGGTTCCGATTAGTATCCTTGAGTTATGAAAAACATAATTAAACCAAATCCTGTTCATAAACACTTCAGTCTCATAACCCTAACCATGTCTCGCACACACTCACACAAATCCACCAGTGTGAATGCAGCTCCTTTAAGGGTTAAATATGGATAACTAGCTTTGATAGATATTTTCCAGTCTGATCTGATCCACATGTTTCAGGTTCCGATTAGTATCCTTGAGTTATGAAAAACATAATTAAACCAAATCCTGTTCATAAACACTTCAGTCTCATAACCCTAACCATGTCTCGCACACACTCACACAAATCCACCAGTGTGAATGCAGCTCCTTTAAGGGTTAAATATGGATAACTAGCTTTGATAGATATTCTCCAGTATGTTAATGTATTAATTAGTTGGGAAAGACCCACATTATCTGCTCCATCCATACAACCACACAGGTGTTCATGTGTACACACACAAATATCCCTCAACAACAATGAAACAGTTTCCATATTGATCCCCAATTTACAAACAGCACAGAAATCTGGAAATTTATAATAAAATACCCCATTAATCTTTGACAAGGAAAGCAAAACATACCCTAAAAATTCCACACTTAGGAAAATGTGATTTCCCTACCACCATCTTAATGATTGATTTGGTGGATTAAAGCACTTTGGTGGATTAATATCAGTTATTCTATAACATACTGCCTGAAATCCTGTTGCTTTTTTATACAGCTATCAATTAAAGAGTCATCACTGTAATTCTAGAATACATGCCAGGCCGGCATATGTGACATGCTCACTGAGAATCACAACGGCAACTCTTTTATTGCTGGTTAGAAGCAAGTGAATGTTAAGCCATTTGGCTTCAGCCTACATCACTGAACAACAGGATTCCAGCCTTTGTTTTCAAGACTAACATAAAATATTGCCAGTATGTTCCAAACTTTATTCCCCAAGTTTTGCAAATCCTGGGTTAGGAAAATTTAGGATTGTTAAACATAATTAAAGTTTCTCTAGACATAACAGTGAATCATATTTAAGAGCCAAGTTCAAGGAATTTGCACTTCATATGGAAGAGTGTGGACAATGCCAGCATTGTGTTCTAGACTTTGTAGCCAGGTCCAGAGGAGGTGTAAAATAACTGACTGATATTTTCAACCTGCAAAGTGCTTGCTAAAGTATGGATCTTCTCTGTAACATCTTCAGCAATATGATTTTGAGTTCTGTTTGCTCTTAGAGGACCCCGTCTTCCACCTCTCTGACGGAAGTGGCCAGAATCACTGGACGAATCTGCCATTGGTATCTTTAAAAAAACAAACATAATGATAGTATTAAAAAGTTTTACAACTTATACATTTCATGAATTCTACCATAAACTAATATCCCAAGAAATAAAACACTGAACAGCAATAAGCAGGTTGGAACTGACTTGGCTCTCTGTAGCTCCCAGCAAACAGACCTGAGCAAAGCAAACGAACAATGGACTGAGAATAAAAAAAAATAAGAAGAAAATGCAGTAAGTCCTTTACCTGATTTTGGCTTAGTTACTTTAAATGTTCATGGTTGTTTTTTTTTTAATTTCTGCAGTCTTCAAAGCAGCTCACAGAAAAATAAAATATGCATTTGTAATAAGTAAGCGAGTAAGTAAGTAAAGGCAATACATTTTCAATACAAGTAAGCAAGTAAGTAAGTAAGTAAGTAAAGGTAATACATTTTCAATACGGCAAATTAAAAAAGCAAAACAACACAGAAGCAGTTCACATCAATATGATGAGTTCCCTGTGAGCAGAAATATTACAATGCCAGTGCTGCTGCCTCCCTAACTTACACAACTGTTCCTGGACTAACACCCACCATTCATGGCTCCCAGACTATCCTTTGCAACAAAAGAAGAGTAGCTACTTTGGGGTAAGAAGAAGGATGTACCTACAAAACCACCCACTTGCCAGAAGATGTCAATGTGTCATACCTCTGACATCAGCAGATTACCTGATAGCATTCTGCACAGTAGCTCTTCCACCTACTGGTTTGACCAAGAACCAGGCTTCTTGTATGGGGATGGGGGGAAAGTGAAGGAATTCTCTCCAGTATTTGAAGTACTGGGTTAGAGTGGAGCTTTGTTACCCCTTCCCCTTCCCTCCCCGATGCAGCAAGGGGGGGAGAGGACACTGAAACACTCTTAGGTACCGGTTCCAGCACTTGGCTATATCCCAACTAAAACTCACCTGCCCCTAGAAGCACCAACTGAGAGTGGAAAAGTGAATCATCATTTCTTTTCTTTCTTCCGTTTGACTGGAGGGGTGAGGGTTTAGGAAGGATTTTGGGAGACATATATTCTACAGACCAGAGACGAAACCTCCGTGAGTCAGATTAGACCCATGGATCTAAGATCTCTGCCCTCCAAATTCTAGACTTTTCTGCTTATTTGCTGATTTTGAGGATTCAAACAAAGTACTTACCAGCAGAACAACTCTCACAACTCGATCACACAGTCAGACTTCTAAAAGCTGCTATTTTTAGGCCAGCATTTCCAAAAACAAATGCTCAATTCAAAAAGAAAGAAGCCACAGAACGAAAAGAAAAGCTTACACAAAGATACTGCCAATGGCAGCACCAAAAAGAAAATAAAAGGAAAAAAACAGTCAGCTGAATCATTTACATTCATCCCAAAACAGGAACTGTTTTCTACTAAGTGTTTGTGCAACACCCTTATTATGTACCCAAGCAAGTTGGAAGAGATAGTTTTGTAGCCAGCTTCGCTGATCTATTATTTTATTACTTGAAATCATCCTCAAAAGCTTGCAAGCAATGTCAATATGGCCGCTATAGTCTAAAGACAACATTTTTCATGTTTTCACCTATAAACTGAGGAAACTCATGCACAATAACAGAAACCAGCCATAAAGTCACTGGAGTGTTCCACATCAGTTGTCCTAAAAATTCACTTAGAAACAAAAAGCAAAGCAGAAATATTTTATCTGTCTTCTCCTCTTATTACAATCAAGATTCAACACTACATATTTTTTTAAAAAAATCATTTTACAGCAACGCTCACCAAACAAATACACAAAAACAAAGTCCCTTCAAGGCAAAGGAAAAACGATGCTCTGCGTGATTTTCAAACTTTCTCCCACTGAGCCACATTGAATTTTTTCCTGAACAAAAACAGTCATGGATCTGGACACTGCAAGGGGGTCTGACGGATGGTTCTTCTGGGATTACTTGAGTCAAGTGCAATGAAAGCAAAGCCTTTCAAGGATCTGTGCAACTATACATTTAGGGAAAATCAGAGTAAGAGTAGGAAAATTAAAGAGAATTTTGCCTTCATTACAAATCTGCTCACTTAAGAACCTCTGGTAAGCTTCTAAGAAGATCCATAACTTACCAGAACAGAGTTTATAGCCTTGATGCTGCAATGTGACTGCAAATAGAGTATGCAGGGCTTATACAAGAAATGTTACATTCTATCAGCCTGTTAAAACAGCTGAACAAGCCACAACTTCTCCAATCAACAGGAAAAGGAAGTTGAGTCAAAATAAGATCTTGGTGATACATCTGTATCTCCTTTAATGGCTTTGAATTAGACCAATGAAAAAAGACACTATAGCAATGGAAAACATGCACAAAAGGGCCACGATCAATGGGATGGAACAACATCGCTATAAGGAATATTTGCAACATTTGGGTACTTTTAGCTCAGAAGGGAAAACATAATGGAAGTGTTCAAAATTATGCACGACGTGGAGAAATTTAATAGGAAGAAACTTTTATCCATGTTTCATACTACTTCTATTATCTAATACCAAAACTAGAATTTCAGCCATCCAATGAAGCCTAGTGTTGAGAGATTCAGGCCAAATATCCGGATATTGTATTTTCATAATATGATATGAAAAAAATAATTCATAAAAAAACAATTCTTCTCACACTACATAGTTAAAACTGGAGTCTGTTACCAGAAGAGGTGGTGCTGATCACCAATGTGGAGAGCTATAAAGGAAGAGTGGGCCAAATCATGAAGGATGAGACAAATATACATCTTAAAACCAGAGGTTATATGTTCCCAAAATCTGTTTTTTAAAACATTTAAATTATGATTTAAATCAAACTGATGTGAATCAAATCCACCCTGTTGGAAAGCAAGAGCAGCAGGTCACCACCGCCCTCCATTTTATGCTTATGGGTATCTCTCAAAGATACATAACTGGCTGTAAAGTGCTGCTAGACTGACTTTTAGTATGAGTCAATATAATTCTTTTTTTAAAAAATTCAATGCTGTTAAACAGAATGAATCCATTGGAAAAACTGAGTTGAAAAACAATTGTGATAAGCCTTTACTATAATGACACAGCAGTTCACAATTTTTAACAGTACTACTACTAGTATTAACCCTGCCAAGATCACATTATGAAGGAATTACATACAAAGCAAGGGGAAGACATATATGAGGATCAATTTGTAATACATAATAGCCATCAATTTGTAATACATAATAACCATCCAAAAGAAGTGTGGGTTGTAACTTTATTACACCACTAAAATCTCAGAAACAGTAATCCCATGAAAGTATAATCTGCTCTCTTTTTTTTGATTATTTATAAGGATCATACTCCTTTTCTTTTTTCTTTTTCTATTTGTTTGTTGGGCTACAATAAATATAGTGTTCAACTCAGCCTCACCCTCCAAAACAGAACAAACATCTACAGTTAATCCGTCTCTGTGGAGATGTTCTTTTGCATCTTAATTATCTTCTCATTTTGCTTAAGGGTGAACCATTTACGAGCATTGCGTCCAACAAGATCCCTTAATTAACCTAAAGATGAAAATGTCATGGTATAGCTGACAGGGGGTGTGGTGTAGTGGGAAAGTGACAGCCTTAGCCTCAGAAGACCTAGATCTGAGACTCGGCTGGACCATGAAAAGTTACTGCTCAATGACAACAGTAAAGCCATTAAACTCCTTAAATATCTCACATACTCTGAAAGCCCTATGAGGGTCAGTACAAGTCAGAGATGTGACTTGGCAGCACTTAACAAACAGTAACAGTTTTAAGGTTATTGCAGTCAAACCTGATCTACTTCTCTAACTCTAAAAGTCAAGCAATACTTATAAACTACTGAATATTTTGCTTTGTACAGTAACAACAAAGAACTACTTCTTGGCCAAAATTATGAAAATACGATCTCAATACACAGGACATGTCTAAATAATTGATCACAAGCATATACTGTATAGTCTTTATTAGCTGTTCAATTGTCATACCATTCTCCAAAGAATGAATGCTTGATGTTTTTGGGGGGAAAATGTTCCTTTCAGAGCATGATCTTTCACAATACATGAATGACATTACATGTCATACAACTCAGTATGCAACTGATAATGTCCATAGTGATTTCGTAACTTGGGGCAATTTGCATTCAAAAGTTATGCCATTTGTGCTATGCCATTAAAACTAGACAAGAGGACTTGGGCTAGACGTAGCACAATTCAGTGGGCAGACCCCTGCTGGTGTAATTTTGCAGTGGTGCAGCCAGACTGGATACTGGAAACATTTAATTACAGTAATTAAAAGCTTTCTATCCCTGTTTTAGGTTCCAAGGCTCCTTAGGACTCCTTTTTTTATTCTGGGAAAGCCTTCGAGAACCTCAGGAAAGATGCACCCCCACCTTTCTTTAATAGTATGAAAGTCACACACAGTTAACTGCCAGTGGTCCCAACCTCTCTGACAGTGAACAAGTGGAACCCAATTCAGATTACGCTACTGCAGAATTATGCAACAGGATTTTGTCCAAAGTGTGGAGCAATGAGCTTTAGGAAGAGTAGACTGTAGTCACCTGGTTGTTTACTATTGCTGCAAATACAGTAGGAAAGGCCACACCTAAACAACACCATTGCCCTCCAGACCACGGAGAAAATAAAAAGATAGATATGAAAGAATTCAAGCCTTGCAGAATCCATAGCTAAGACAAACTGCTCCTCTCTGCATCTAGATACAACCCAGCATGTAGGTAAAGCAGTGCTTCCCAACCTTGGGTCCCCAGATGTTCTTGGACTACAACTCCCAGAAAACTCAGTCTGCACAGCTAGTAGTGAAGGCTGCTGGGAATTATAGTCAAGAATATATAGGGATCTAAGATTGGGAACCACGGATGTAAGGAAAACTTTACATATGTGTGGAACTTGCGTGTTCAGACCCAATGTGCCTGTTATACAACTAGGGAGAGTCACAATTAAAGAGCTATTTTGCTCATAAGCTGCACAGTGTGCTTCAAGAAAGTATTTCCAATATGTTCTGAGCAGATTATAGAATACCCTGTAGCAGGGGGGACTAGCAAAGTGCAGCGTTCCAGTTGTTGGAGTGCAACTACTATCATTTCCTTGGCAGCATCGCTAATAGGGAGGAACACCAAGACCTGAAGTCCAACAGCATCTGGAAGTCTGTCCACCCGTGTCCTCTGGGGTCACTGCCTCAAAGCATAATTCAACTTCTATTGTCGATTTTGAAAGAGATTCTGATTCAACAGAGTTGTTGACTGAGATCATTAACTTGTGATTTTAGCTTATATAACTATTGCAAAGAAAAGTCCACCATGACAATGGGAGTGCACTTCTTTACATGGCTTGGTTTACTTAAGAGCATCATGTATGGCAATAATGGCATATTTCATCTTACTTATGATTTGTGCTTACACTTTTAAAATCTGCTGTATAATATAATACCAACTACAGTAGTTGTAGTGAAAAAAACAGCCCAAATTAAAGTATTGTTATGCCTTCATCTATCCCTTCTTTGCAGCGTCACTCACAGAATATTTCATGGCAGATTTGCTTTTAATACCCGCTTGAAATGAATCTGCTGCTGAGAGCCTTCAAGATCCTAAGGGAAACAGCCCTACCTCTTAGCAAGTGCCCCAAATCTCTTCTTAGCAAGTCACCCTAAACCCGCGTTCACTGTCACAAGGGGGGAAATGGTACAACCCATCCTGAAGGATGAACACGTGCAAACCTACGCACATCTGAACGGGGGCAAGCCTTACTGAATTACACTGTTACAAAGGGAGTGATCACACGGCCCTGAACATCGGGACACGCTCCGAAATCCAGCTGATCAGAGCTTAGTGACCAGCCGATTTCTTTTCCTTTCTTTCTTTTCCTTCCTTCCCTCCTTCTTTCCTTTCTTTCTTTCTTTTCCTTCCTTCTCTCCTTTTAAAAAAACACGCATCCTTACTTCCCCAGTTCTTCGCTCCGGGCCTCCACCCGCGCCTCTTCACCAGCCAGACAGCCCTCAGTATCGAAGCATGACTCCCGGACGCCTCCAGCTCCAACTGTCCGGCACTCTGCCAAAAGGTTCCTACCCTAACCACCACCCCGCCGCCGCTATGGCAACTTAAACTAGCCGCCCTGCGACCGAGGCAGAGCGGCCTCGCAAGGCGCCAGGGGCCCCCTTGGCGCTTAGCATCGTGGGAATCGTAGTTCCCAAGTCCCGGGACCATGCAAGCCGTGGGGTGGACAGAAGACTACAGTTCCCAGAATGGCTCGCGCCGCCATTCTGGGGGATCCGCCGCTCGCGAAGAGCCGCCATGGCTGAGTGAAATAACCGTGGCCGGGCAGAGAGCGCCCATTTCTTAAAGGCGCCGTTGCTTAATTCCACTAGAGAGAAAGAGAGACACCTTGTGATCAGAGGGGTGGGGGGGAGAAGAGAAGATTTCAGTGCGACAGCGATGCCAGGATCGCCTTATTATTCTAAAGACCAGGGCAGGGAAAAGAGAGCCAGAACGGCCTCTCACCCCCGTTTCCTCCGCCCCCCAGATAGCTAAAAAACTGTCCACTTCTGTCAGAAGACATCTGTTCATTTGCAATCTGGAAACGTGAAACTGGAATTTTCAAATAAAGTAGCTGTATTAGCCTGCCTCAGCGTGTTGGCAAAAGAAAGTGGGGTGGGGAATATTGCAGCGTTTAAAACCTTTTCTTTTAATGTGAGCTTACCTGAATCACAGGTTGGGTGGATTCGCCTGTCACAGAAATACTAACAATTGTCTTTGGGGCCGAAATCGGAATCTGGCAAAGGAAACAACTATTTCAGACCCCTAAGAGCTTTAAGAAAGCCGAGTTATTAATCTCGGTGGTGTACTAGGAAGGCTTGAGCCCTATTTAGACCTTTGGAGATGCTTTGAAAGTTGCTTACATGGCCAATTTCTGTTCTCTCTTTCTCCAAAGATTCTACAATAGCCTCTTTGAGATTTATAGCAGAGTGCCCCATCTGCGAAGCAACCAACATGAAACTGACACAACTACGGGAAGCAGTGGAAGATAGGAGGGCCTGGCGTGCTCTGGTCCATGGGGTCACGGAGAGTCCGACACGACTAAACGACTAAACAACAACGACGCCCCACCTGGTAAACAGCTTATTACTAGAGTCACAAAGAGTCGGACAGGACTAAACGACAACGACGCCCCACGTGGTAAACAGCTTATTACTAGGGAAGCCTTGTAACCTCAAATAATTAACAGCTTGATAATCCTATTAATGTCTTAACAAAGGTTTGTCACTTTGTCTATTATCTGTATCCTCAGTTGGTCATGACTCTCATCATCCTGGGACTACATATCAATTTGAAGGGCACCGTATTTGTGTTTCTTGTCTCAGTTCAGTTTCCCACTGTGCCTCCTTGGGCTGGACTCAATGCTCCATAGGGTCTCTTCCAGCTATGCCATTCTAAGGTTAGTACAGTATTATTATCTCTCTCTTCCAGCTATGCCATTCTAAGGTTAGCATTATTATCTTGATCCACAAAAGCTCACACTGAAATAAATCACGGCTTGTCTACACAGGCTAAATAAGGTCTGGTAGAGATCCGGTGCTACATGGTATGACCCTCGCATCCAAATGGCATATGCACCTCAAATGATCCTGTTTTGTTCACTTCCCTGTTGAAAAAAAAAATCCCACTCGTTTCCCCTCTTCTCTCCTTTAACTTCCATGAGGAAGTTTTCAATTAAAAAAAAAGAATTCTAAGCATATCAGCATTATCCGAATAGACTTTTATGTATATGACTTTCAAAGTGTTAAGAATACAGTTGCCCAAACAGGAATATTTTTTGTAAGGAAAGCTTTACAGAGCACAAATATCTGAATGTATTTCTTCCACTCAAATGATCATAATCATATAAATAATACGAATAAATAAAGATAGCATATAAATAAAAATTCTATGCAAATCAGCATTATCTGAATCGGACAATGCTGATTTTTTCAGTTGCTTCAGTCCCAAAATGGCTCAATATCCTGACCGTAATCCAGCCATAAAAACTGTTTATTTATTTATTTGATTTATATTTATTCATATTATTTATATGATTATGATCATATCAGGCTTGAGCTCTCTTTTTGGTAAGGTAGATTGACTCCCTGGAGAAGACCCTGATGTTGGGAAAATGTGAAGGCAAGAGGAGAAGGGGACGACAGAGGACAAGATGGTGGGACAGTGTCACCGAAGCTACCAACATGAATTTGACCCATCTCCGGGAGGCAGTGGAAGACTTGAGGGCCTGGCACAGTCTGGTCTATGGGGTCAGGAAGAGTCGGACACGACTTAATGACTAAACAACAACAGATTATTTTAACAACAAAATGGTCTCAGGGTGAAATGGAAGACAAAGTGGAATTAAAGAAAGAAAAGATGGACAGTGATAATTATGGAATTAACACTGGCTGTCCACAAATTGTTGCTGATAACACAAGCATCCTGGCCATAATTTCCACAGGGGTTGCTGGGTTAGTCTGTTGCAGCAAAAATTAGTCTAGTGGCAACTTAAGGTAAGTTGTATTTGCTATAAGCTTTTGTGGATTGTACCTCACTTGTTCAGATGCATCTCATCATCATCATAGGCATCCTTCAGTCTCGAGAGACTATGGTATCGTGCTCTGTATGGAGGACTTGGAACAGCGTCTAGTGTGGCTGAGAAGGCCAATTCGAGAGTGACAATCCCTTCCACACTGAAGACAAGTACAATCTGTACCCCGTCTAGCTCCCTGATTTTGCTGCTTTTGTGACTGCCTCTTTGCCTCAGCCTGCTGGACGAGGGTCTCTTCAAATTGGGAGAGGCCGCGATGCACTGTATGCCTCCAGGCTGAATGCTCAGATGTCAGGGTTTCCCATCTGTTCAGATCCATTCCTAAAGCCTTCAGATCCTGCTTGCAGATATCCTTGTATCGCAGCTGTGGTCTCCCTCTGGGGCGATTTCCCTGCACTAGTTCTCCATACAGGAGATCCTTTGGAATCTGACCATCAGCCATTCTCACAACATGCCCGAGCCAACGTAGGCGTCGCTGTTTCAGTAGTGTATACATGCTAAAAATTCCAGCTCGATCTAGGACTACTCTATTTGGAACTTTGTCCTGCCAGGTGATACCAAAAATACGTCGGAGGCAGCGCATATGGAATGTGTTCAGCTTTCTCTCCTGCCATGCACAAAGGGTCCAGGACTCACTGCAGTACAGGAGTGTGCTCAGAACACAGGCTCTGTAGACCTGGATCTTGGTGTATGCTGTCAGCTTCTTATTGAGCCATACTCAATACAGATGCATCTATATTAGATACATTTGAAGTAATGACTTCAATCCAGGAAGGCTGATGCCAAATTAACCTACACACCGGTAAACAGTAATGCTAGAAAAAGTTGAAGGCAGCAGGGAAAGAAGAAGACCAAACATGAGCAGGATTGACTCCATAAAGGAAGCCACGGCTTTGAGTTTGCAAGAGATGAGACCTTTTGGATGTTATTCATTCATAGGGTTATCATAAGTCAGAGGCAACTTAAGAACATGTAAAAACAAAGACTCATCTCTAAATGCTGGTGCCCTTGAGCCCCATTTCCTTCACCCTACCTACAGCCCTGGCAGGGCTATATATAAATAGTATATATTACCGTATAAGATGAGGAAATTACTTTTTCAAAACTGTCTGGAAACTACTAACTACTAGCTATACTGACTGGGAACTGTAATCCCCAAAGATTTCCAAGATCTAACCTCCCCACACACACCCCAAAACTGTGTGTATATTTAGGTTGTTCTTAACTTTTATCTGATTTTTTTTTACCTTTCACATGAAGTATTATATCACTGTAGTTTGTTATATATGTAACTGTTAACTGTCCCATAAATATTTTAAATGTTTAAACAGATCGATAAAGAAATGGTATCCTTCGTTCTGGGCATCTCTGGACAGAAGAATGGAAAAAAATAAAATAAAATATTTTGTCTCCTCATCTTTTTTTTGTCTTGGGAGGACTTTTGCTCCTGGCAGTCTTAGCAGTCGCCACAAGATGGCAACCAAAGGCCAGTCCTGGAAATCGCCCCTCATATGCGGGCGTGTGAGATGACTTTGGCGGTTTGTTAAGCCTCGGACTTCTAGCAAAGATCCCGACTCTGGCCGTGGAAGTTGGAAGCAAGGGGCTGCCGGGTCTTCGCTGGAGATGCCTTGATGCCCGACGGGGCTTCGGGAGCGGTCTGGGCAGCGTCTAACCCGCTAATATTCCCAAAGGAACAGCCCGCCCGTTATCCAAGCAGTGAACCTCGGAAAACCTGGACTCTCGGTGAGGCGGCGCGCGCGCGTGATGCCCGAGTCTAATGATACTAATTGTCTGAAAAATCTTTGCTTAAAGTCGAAGCTGGGAAAAGTTCCTCTTTTTTTAAAAAACAAACCCTCTAACTCCCCGATCTCCCCCGTCAGAAGCCCGAGGATTACATTCTCCCTAAAAAGGGACTTTCCCAAAGTTTGGAAAGGGTGCCTTACCTCACGCGCTCATAGGATCGCTTCTTCTCTTCGGTGCGCTGGAAGCTTGCGGTTTGCACATCGTTTCTGTGGCGGCGTGTCTGAGGTGTTATGTTTTAACGAGGCAGGAAAGTGAACCTAAAAGGATGAGATTGGGGGAAAACTGGAACCGGTATAAGGGGCAGTTCCCGGGAACAGGTCCTTTTAAGATTTATTGACGGTCGGGGGGGGGAGGATTACAATAAAACCCGCCTCGTTGTCAAAGAAAACAAAATTAAAGCTGGGTGATCCTCATAATTTGTGTGTGTGTGGCAGGATTTAGTTGTTTTTTTTCTTCAAACGCAAATGATACCTGCATATAAATCACTCTCTCCTTCTGATCCTCTGCACACTTGTTGCATTAGAATATATCCCACCTTAGTCTCCATTACTTATTGTATGAAATACAGTATGGAGGTGGTGTCTTGTCGCTAATATTTGTTTGTAACATTTTATAATTAGTCAACTCTTTCTTACAAATCCGACTATACAAATCCGACTAACAAACATGTTGTGATTATATATACAGTACATGTCCAACTTTTGTCTCCCTTGCTTCACATATAGGGGCTCTTTGGGCATGAGTGAAGAGTTGCAAACTTTGAGAAATTAACTTTTGCTTTTAGTTGTCTTTTGTTTCACATACTTAATGTACAACCCTACACGCAGTAACTTTCCTGTTATTCATAGTAATAGTAAGATAAATAAAAACAATGCAAAAGTGATCTGACTTTCAAACTCCCGTATTCTATTCTTCTGCAGCATCTTCTGAATAGAATTGAACAGGCTGACCATAAATAAGGGTCCATTATAGCCTTATATTTTCAGTAGATTGGACTATCATCATTATCAATTTTACTTTGCTTGTTACCATTGCATTGTTAATTTTTAGAACAATTCTCTCTCATGTCTATGCACAAAACAAAACTGGATAACAATATTTGAGAAATATTTCTAGCTCTCACAAATGTTTAACAGTCTTAAAGGAATTCAGTTATTTGTATTTTAATCCATATGTTCAGCTTTAAATGATCAATCAATCTTTATTCTCAGTCTCTGATCCATTAAAATACATACATATAGTATTTAAAATAAGAAGAAGCAATTAAAACATTTCAAGACAGTTAAAACAGTATAAAATAATAAGGTATATTACCCATATGATTTTTTTATATTAATATTATATACAATCAATCAATCATTGATTGCCGCATTTAAAGCTGCAGCTTTAAATGAGAAGTTTGAATTGGTTTATAAACCTGTGCCTTGTTTTATGAACAGCTTAATCTCCCAATTGATTTTTGCTGTCAATGTGCTATTTGCCACTCACATTGTTAGGATAGTGTGTTAACTGTAAATACAGAGTGCTTTCTGATATTTCATTTCATATACTTCCAAATGAAAAGAAGTTATTTATAGCAAGACTTATAATGAGACAATATAAGCAATGCCTTTTTCTAATGATAAAAACGACTCTGAATTTTTTGCAAATTCATTTTTTGAGTTATGAAATATCTGGACCTGTTGCAGCAAACACAGAACAAAAAACAAAGTCTTCTGGTTCCTGTCAGACGAACAGGTTTATTCCACCCTTGTGAATTACAATCCATGAAGGTTTACTTTGATGTAAATATCTTGGTCTCAAAGCATAAGTTTGTGGTTTTGTTTTGTTATACATGAAACAAACAACACAGGACCATAATTCTATGATTCTTTGTTCTTTCTCTTTTAGAACATGGCATCTAGACTATAAATGATTGCTGTGTGGAAGTGAGAATAGTGAGAAAAGTATACGACAGCAAGTGTTGTGAGGTTATACAGTTCAGAGACGGGGGAATCAGCTTGCATGAGAATTGTAGGTAGTAACATGAAGGGAGGATGTTCATCCAATGGAATAAAGTTAGGTTGTTATAGATTTTCCATGCTGATTTATCAGCAGAATGTTGGCAGTCTTTTCTCCTTGATAAAACAAATAGGGTTTTTTTTAAAAAAACAAATTAGAAATCACCATATTTTTAAAATTTTTTGATCTTTATGGAACACATTTATGGGACAGATAATAGATTTTCTGGAGTGATAGGAATACTGTAATTGGGTAGTGCCAGTGGAATTTCAATGGGAGGACATTGAGGGAATTTCTGTGTCTGTAATATCGTTTTATGTTGTTATATATATATATGTTCTTGCTTACAATAATACTGTGGTATTTACGGGGGGATCAGTTTCAAGCCTCCCCCATTCCAAAAAATGGGGAAGTAGCAGGCACTATACATTGCATGGTCTCTGGCTTCCTCTAGTGGCCAGTTCTGGTAAATGCACCTTGTAAATATATATAAAGATGTATTTCTGAGGGTTTTTTATTTAGTATTTTCAGGCAGTGAATCAGAAGGTACTGATCCTGCAGGTAGTGGAGGTCCTGCTGTATTACACTTTGTTATATTTTGGTTTTTAGGGAGAAGGTGTTTTTTCTGAAGAGACACAGGCCTTCCTCTTTTCTTGGTTACCTCTTTGAATCTGTCAGTGGAGAAAGTCTACACAGCAATGAAGTCGCTGCTGCGGCAGTAGATTCAGGAAGATGCAGTGGTTACCAGAGTTCCTTCAGCTGCTCCTTCTACTGGAAATGGGACAGAGAAATCAAGGCATAGAAATGTGCCCATCTTCCCTGTGTGACTGCTCAGATTGGTACCACTACAAAATCACCTGCATGGAGATAAAGTTCATCCCCAAACTTCCTCAGAGCACCCAGATCTTGTGAGTATAAGGGATTCATTGAGCTGGAGGAGGGGGCTGCATGTATAAGCAACTCAAACTATTTTTGAATGGGGTTCATTTAACCCAGAAAGGCTGAAGACAGGCATCATGTTTTAAGGCTCCTGCAGTCCTAAATAAACAGAAGTTCAAACAGGTTTGTGGTGTGCCTGAAACTGGCCATATTTTTTATTTACCAAAAAGATTTGTTGGAGAGGGTCTCTGTGGGGCTGTGGCGGCTCATCTGTTACCCTCTTTGAGAAAGGAAAACCAGAGTCTTAAACCACAAGTCTTTTGAAAAATTATTTGTGTTTTGAGTATCCTTCTTCTATTATTATTGTTGTTGTTATGTGCCATCAGGTCAATTCCAAATTATAGCATCCCTATGAATGGGAGATCTCTAAAAGCTCCTGTCCTCAAATGTCCTGCTTAGCTCTTGTGAACCCAAGCCTGGGGTTTCCTTTAGGGAGTCAGTCCACCTTGTACATGGCCTTCCTCTTTTCCTGCTGCCTCCTGTCTTTCCCAGCATTACTAGAGAATCCTGCTTCTCATTATGTGCCCAAAGTGAGACAGCCTCAGTTTCAAAATTTTTACGACAGAGATAATTCAGGTTGGATTTGATTTAGGAACCGCTTGTTTGTCGTTCTAGAAGTCCAGGGTATCCACAAAACTCTTCTCCTGCACCACATTTCAAACGAATCAGTTTTTCCTGTTAGCTTTCTTCACTTTCCAGCTTTCATCATCATACATGGTGATTGAAAATGTAATAGTGTGGATGATCTTAGTCTTCATCTCCAGTGACACATCCTTATACAGACAATCTTTTCTAGTCCTTCATCATTGCCCTTTTCTTAGTCTTCAGATTTCTTAGCTGCAGTCTCCATTTATATTGATGATTGAACCAAGGTCTACAAAATCTCTAACCATTGCAATTTCTTCATTGTTAACAGTAAACTTCTGTAGCTCTTCTATAGTCATGGTTTTGGTCTCCTTAATGTTGAACTGCGGTCCTGCTTTGGCACTTTCTTTTTTCACTTTCATCAGAAGTCTTTTCAAATCATTGCTGCTTTCAGCCAATAAGATGGTGTCATCCGCATATCTCAAGTTATTGATACTTCTTCCACCAATTTTCATTCCTCCTTCATCTGAATCTAGTTCGGCTTTCCGTATGTTCTGCTTACCAATTGAACAGATAAGGGGATAAAATGCACCCTTGTCTGACACCTTTGCCTATCGGAACCATTCTGTCTCTCCATATTCTGTCCTAATGGTAGCTTTTTTCCGCTCAAGTCAGGACAATCAAGTGCTGAGGTATACCCATTTCTTTCAGAACAACCCATAGTTTCTAATGATCCGCACAGTCAAAGGCTTTGCTGAAGTCTATAAAGCATAGACTGATCTTCTGAAACTATTTGGTTTCAGTAGACACTTTCTTACTGTGGCATTCACCCTCGTGCCCCTTGCTTGACTGTCAAGCCTCAGATCTCACAAGGGCAAACACTCTTCTCTTTTCACTGCTGCCACCAGGTGATCTCTATATCACCATTACTTCAGAAAGATTCAGGTCCACACTTCAAGTTCTTTTAAAATAAAACTTTGGTTTATTGATTACAGAGACTGATTCATGAATATCTTCAGTAGATAATCACACCTCAGAATTTCCCAAACTACACACTCTATTACTTTCTCTGACTTTTCTCTACTCCCTTACTCTTCTTATATTTCCCTTACTTCCTCAATCTATCCCTTGACTCTCTGACTCCACCTCTTATAGCATCTCTTTCGGCTCCGCCTCTTAGCAATATTAATATGCATGAACCATTATTTTACATAATAAGCATAAACCATTACATAATATAACATGAACTATAGACCTAATAAATAGAGAACACGTCACTTACTCTTTAATTTTTGTCCCATGTATCTCAGGATATTGGGATGCATAGAGCTCATTCTGAAGAATAGCTAAAAGATTTCATTCAGAAGTATCAAGTCAGAGATTAAAAGAGATTTGAATGTTATAGGAAGGACTGGAATGAGAGTGCTTCATCTGAAGGAGAAGAGATGCTCAAGTAGCATTATGCATGGTTTCTGAAACAAGGATCGGCCCATGTTGGAAAATATATGTACACAGCTGTTGGAAAAACATCGTTATGCGATAATCTGTATGATCATCACAAAGTGATGTTTTACCATTTAAAACATTGTTATGCGATCGCAAAAACAATCGCAAAAACTCAATCGCTATGCGGATTCGTCGTTAAACGAAGCACTCGTTATGTGGGGCACCACCGTATAGCGAACAACCATAAAGATAGAGAATGATGAATATATTTTTAACTTTTCTGGTAGTATGTCACCTAAAAATTTGGGTGAGGGATTGCATGGTTAAACGTTAAAAACTTCAACAACAATGACAACAAAACACACAACCTTTCGAAGAATAACATCACTGTGAAGAGGTTTGCCCTTACCCAAATCACATAATTTTAATGAAAGGGAGGGGAATTTTGACGCCTGTGAGTCTGCCTGCATTTTGAAATATCTTACACTTGGAGGATCTGCAGCACAGGATACATTCCTGTCAGATGGTCATCAGCCTCCTGTTCAATAAAGTCAACAAAAGAAAATTCATCTCCTGAGGTGGCAAACAGTTTTGTATATTCAGAAAAATAGGGAAATGTAGACTATAGCATAACATGGTCTCCATATTGAACCAACATGGGTGGTTCAAGATGAAACTCTTGTGAAATCATACTGCCTCATTTGCAGAGTTTTAAAAGGAGAAGATCTACATGTTCTAATTTTCCACTTATAACACAAGTGTTTTCTCACCACTATTTTCCCACCAGGTTTTTTGCCTTTTTAAGTAATACACAAAAAATTCCAAACCACAATAAAACAAACATTAAGAAGGAAAAGACAGAATAACTACAAAATGCCCCTTAATTGGTAGCACTAGGAATCTAGATACCCAGTATGATGCAGTAGATGGAGTAATGGATTGGAACTCGGGAGGCCTGGGTATGAATCCTCACTAGGCCATGGAAACTCACAAGAGATCTAGACTGGTAAAACTACTCCTTAAACATCTCACTTCTCTTGAAAGCTATTAGGGTTGTTGTAAGTCAGTTCTGACTTGAAGGCCCATAACAATAAACAGGATCCCTTTCCCCCTGTTCTGGAATCTTCCTCCTTCCCCTATTATGATAAAAGGAGGAGTAAAGGGAAGAATCGAATTTGTGAGACTGCATTCATTTTGGCTTATGTATGGAATGCCAAGTCCGGTTAGGTGCTTAGCAGTTCAGAACTTGGAGAATTCAGTCCGGGAAGAGAACAGCATATTTTCACCATAAATTTTTGTAAAGACTACAGTGGTGCCTCGCATTACGACGTTAATTCGTTCCAGCGAAATCGCTGTAGAACGAAAATGTCATAAAGCGAAAATTTAAAAGCCGTTCCAGCGAAATCGCTGTAGAATGAAAATGTCATAAAGCGAAAATTAAAAAGCCATTGAAACGCATTAAAATCTGGTTAATGCGTTCCAATCGGCTAAGAACTCACCGCCCAGCGAAGATCCTCCATAGGGGCGGCCATTTTTGGGTGCCTGTGCAGCGAAAAATGGCTCCTAAACACAGCGGGGAGCCATTTTGAGCACCCGGTGGCCATTTTCAAAACCTGACGATCAGCTGTTTTGATCGTCGGGAAGTGAAAATCGGTTCCCGAAACAGGAAACAGATAATCGCGCAGTGAAATTCGCCCATTCAAAACGTCATTTTGTGACTGCTTTTGCAATCGCAAAAACCTCGTCGTAATGCAGATTTGTCGTTAAACGGAGCGCCCGTCTTGCGAGGCACCACTGTATTTGCATACTGTAACACTTCAGAATGCCGGTGAAGGACTGGATGGTTACATTTCCTCCCACATTAAACAAACAACAAATAGAAAGACAGACAGACAGACAATACCACCTTTAGAAGAGTTACATGTCAGAGTAATTGGAGTAATACTCTTGAAAAAAATATATACTTTTTTGGATTATAGTTACAAGAATCCCCTAACTGGAATAATGCTAGGAAATTCTGGGAACTGAAGTAGAAAGAAAATAACTTTCTCAAGCTCTGACTGTTACTGGGCTATACTTTCCTGTAAATCCTAGTAGTTGTGCTAGGAATCATTCAACTATAGCCAAAGTGCAGTTTTGTTTTTCTGCTTCTGTTCAAAACAGTCCTCAAATTGGCAACATGTAAACATACCCTCTGCTTTGTTTTATATACTAACTGGAGAGGAGCTGATTACTGAGAGGAGATCCAGGTCTTTTTGTGTTTTGGAACAACACTGCTTTTTCCTAGAGCAAGCCATTGAAGATGCTAAAGAAGACCAGAAGCAGAATAATGCTTTTGAATTGTATTTTGTTTTCATTTTTACAGTGGGTTTTGAGTTGTGCCATAATGGATATTTTTCTAAAATGTTTTATACCAATGACTGTCCAACCCCTACTTAACGTGTGTCCTCTAGGCCTTTAAAAGGCTGCAAAAGAGCTCTGGAAGATGTACTTTTCTTCTGAAAATGCCAGCACTAATTAGTTCCTTTTAAAGTTGTTTTTAATTGCTTCAGGAATGAGTAGAGCATTTGTCTGCTTTTTTAAAAAAAATCAGTCAAAACACTTCACTCTTTTCTGGGTTTTGTTAAAGCTGTTATCATGAATGTAATAATTATATATATTCAATATGCCTCGCATCAATATATTTGATGTTATATAGGTTACAAATGAACTACTATATAAAATTATACACCAGATTTATTTTCAATGCAATTTCTCGATGGGTTTGCTTCAGATTCATGTAATTCTCAAATCTTGAGCCAAATTAGGCTGCTTCAATACCGCTCTGAAACGTTCTGAGGTGAACTAGGTTTCCCACCAGAGGTACTAAAATGAAAATTGAACTTCATGCAAGATTTGAAAACATGACAGGCATGGAGCATTGTTTAGTTTTAATTCA